TGGGACAGAAATTTTGTATTTTATCTGACGTGACGTCATATTTACACTATCAGGGCCTCTATCTACCACCGGTGGGACAGGCCCTAAATTAAATTAAATAAAATATACACTAGTGAGTTTACAAACTAACGGGAAATTAAAACGCATATAGTTTAAAATGTAAAAGTACCAGGACAACATAAGGCAGACCATAACAAGCACATTTGCAACTAAAACGTTTCGTATTGGCTTGCACTTGCAATGCGTATTATGCATTTATGTATGTAACAAGCACACAACACGACTTAGATACAAGTTGCATAATGAAGGCTCAATGTACCGCGAACACTTCCGTAAGCTAAAATTGTTTAAACCTTGAACAGAGAAAATGTGCATCTTAGAGACAAATCGAGCTAAAAATATTCCATTGTTGCCAACCGCGTATGTATTGTGGCTGGTGGTTTTCGTTTCCGCCGCGACCGTCCGGGTTCAAACCTGACACCGCAGCCCTATCTATTACAAAGATAAACTATATCGGACTATACCCCTTTACAAGGACTGGCATTCTATTTTCAGCTAATTGACAAATACAGTGGTAACATTTTATAAAATCCTACAACGGAAAAATCATTTAGGTATCTTGTCAAAGAATCGGTAGTCTAATCGAGGTTAAGTTGTACTCTTTGAGACATATCTGAGTAAATTCACAAAGGGGAAGGCCACCTAGGTTACCTACCCGGAACCCTAACGTTCTTCTCCTTCCAAAACTAAAAAGAGACAGTCAGGAATGGAAAAGTCAAATCAATAATTTACTTCCTTGTACCAGGGATACATATCATGTAGGGACATCTCAAGTATATTAGACTTTCTATGATCATTATGCGATTTTCACAAATTACCGCTTACGCAAATCGTCCGTTGGCGTCGCATCTGGGTCAAACCGGCGCAGGCGCAGACTGCGGTAACGGTGAAAGTGCCGAGCAAGGACGTCATCTTTGATCAATGCCTTCCACATTACACAAAACTGCGTAACCACTTAATTATGACTTAATGCAAGTCAATCCGAACATTTCATATAAAACGGGATACAATTTTCGAACGATTCCTTTATAAAATATCATATAAAATATCGTTGAATAAAAATGATGTAATCGTAACCAGAGAATTTATATTTATTTAAGCTCACCTCCAACATCTCATTTTCTTCATCACAAGTTTCGAAAATATCAACACACTGACCTGCAACAAACAGACGGACAAAATTAATAAAAATATACCAATGAAACCTTTGTAAAAACTTTCAATTTTAAAAAAAATTACTATCGTCATGAAAACTTAATTCCAGATTCTAACCTATACAAAAACTGAACTTAAAAATTTAATTTATTTTGTTAAAATATTAAAGTATTTAATAAGCAGCCAAGCGTTATAACTTTGGCAATACACATCAATCGTGTGGCCGGAGGGACATCAGGGGGGTGTCTGCAAGTCTAGACCGAGTCTAGACCCGGACCTGGTTCAACGTTCAGACAACAAAGAGTTGAGGAAACGAATCTTGTGTCGTTCACCTTCTCACCAATAATATTATATTAAATTTTGCAACAGCTGCGTTTACTTCGCTTACAAATAAAATTGCGAACGTTTTTCGATCATACAACTTGAAAAGCTTAGAGCATGTATTTGAATGTATGTTAAAGTTAAATTACTTAGAAACAACTATATTTTATATGTCCATCGAAAAATATACACGTCTACTGTTAACTTTTAAGACAAACGGAATCCCTTATTAATTCCTCATTTATCACATTTCCAATCCGCATAAAACTTATGTACAGTCGCGGAAATACGCAGTGAACCAAGTTAAGAAAAATTACCGTGTTCATTGCAACGAACAGCTCCGCTTCTTCCTTTAAATAACTAATTAGACAGCAGTAATTATGTATTACTAACCGACTTTTTTTACAGACACTTATAAACTGTGTGGTATTTTATGTGTATTTATTGTGGTATGTTAAAACGATTGTAGCTGTTAAGGTGCACTGCAAATGTACTAGATTGTACAAATCAATTATAATGCACCAACTTGTATACCCAATATACATAACTATGTCTGTGATATCATAAAATTAAAATGCAAATACCAATCTTATGCACTTGAGCGTCGAGTGCACAGATTGATCACCCCCACCCCAAGCCTACGTCATCACGCATCAGGGGGTTGTTTAGAGGGCCCCCTCCCTCGAGAAACACTTCATTAGTACGCGACAATTTTACAATTATAATAAGGCAGCCCAGGTCACAAGCACTAGAGGTATTTTCGGTACTTAAAAACAGGCCACCACATGACCTGAAAATTTTTAGTTCAAGTAAATAACATCTATTTCTAATTTTAGAGCGTAGAATGCACTAATTGCCACCCAAAGTTGTTAAAGGGACACCCTGAGTGCAGTAATCTAAATAAAATCAATTTATCTATACTAATATAAGGAGGAAAGATTTATATTTTTGTATGTATTGAAATAACTCAAACACTAGGCCGATTTTAAAAATTATTTCACCGTTAGAAAGGTAATTTATCAGTGAGTAACATAAGCTACATTTATTTTTACTTTTTTAATTACACGGGAACGAAGTCGCGAGCAAAATTATGTAAAGAAACTTTAAACTGAACCTCGTTCTTTGTTCTAACATAACTTTAAAGTGTAAAAGGCCAAAGATAATACAAATGGAAGCTAAATGCAGGTTGCATTTACCTTTTGTGTGGAAACAAAGTGGTCAGCGTACATTTATAGAGAAGTTTTGAATATTTTAGTATACGGCAGGGCCGACGTAAGTAGAACACTTGCATTGGTAAACCTTTTGCTAGAGATTTTTATTGACCCTAACAGTATCGATTTCAACTAGATTATAAAATACTAGCTTTCGCCCGTGACTCCGTAAAAGCATGTAGCCTATCTGTTCTTCCAAACTATCCTCTATATCTATGCCAAATTTCATCGAGATCCCTTCAGCCGTTTAAGCTACAAATTCTAACAAACATACATCCATCTAAACTTTCACATGTATAATATTAAAACGAAGTATGATATATTACTGAAACAAAAGCTACTGTTTTTAAAATTAAAAGAAAGTCAATAATATAAGAGTCTAGAGAACAAGTCGAGAAACAACCCAATTGAAATCGAAACCATATTAAAATCATTTAAACGGCATTCAAAAGCAAACATCTCAAAACATTTGTATTACAGTAGTATCATCGGAATGACGTTTATTATTTTCATTCAGTAAAAAATACAAATAAGAACAATAGCTGATTGTGTCGTGAAATAAAACATCGCCACTCGAGAAAACTTTACATTGCAGCTTTCAGTGCATAGAAACACTTTCCCTTTGCAGTGAAACTGTTTCATAGTCAAGCATTCGAAAACAAGTACTCAATCAACAACACACATTTATACTCTTTAATCAACACTAAATTACCAAAAAATCAAGAAATAATCAACGAAAAATCTCGAAATTAGAGAAATAGAAGCATTACACACGGGAGCAAACTGCACTCAAAAGGACCAGTAGGGTTGTCAGCCCTCCCGTAAACGCGCGCTGTAAACAACCCCTTTACAACAATGACATCGCCCAACAGTCATCGTCGAGACAGGCTTGATGTAAAGTTTAATGTACACTTACGTGGACTGAAGAGGCAGAACATCTTGAAATCACTGAATATCACAGTTAAAACGATAAATATATAGTTATATATCGGATGGAATTAAAATTATCTATCTGTAAATATTAAAACTTAAAAGTAACACTTCATAGAAGCAATTTAGTCGTTTAAAACTAATTTCATGAAATCAAAATAAAAACACAGACTAAGTTAGTAAACATTGAATTTATTTTCGAGAAAAAGACCAAATAAAATCTAATTAATACTTAAGTAAAATTAATCATTTCACAAACAAGGAGATGATAATATCATAAGATTACGAGTAAAACGCGCATGTTTACGCGGGTCCGCGCATGAGGCACGTCCACCCAGCGCGACGGTTCACAATAAACTGATCTGAAGCTCAGCAGACTATCAGCTGTTGAGTGTTTGCAACTACCTACAGCTACCGGTTGCACCCGTCTAGACATGGGGGTGGGGGCGCAGTTGAATCGAATGCACTGCTTTGATTGGATTCATGCATTTTGACGCTGCTTTAGCGGGTCAGGGAACTTAGAATAAATTTTTCGCCGTTTTAAGCTCATTCAAGTTCATTGGCCGAGCTTTAAGCTTTATTACAATTTATGTCTTGAAGTTGATTTATTTTCTAAATTCATTTGAGATATATTTTTCAGTTCGTGGAATTATTTTTTTAAACGTATCGCAATGAAAATTCAACTATTTACAGTATTAACAAAGTTCAGTTTAGAGAAGCTGTTTCGATGGAAATCAGTCGGGTCGATGTCGATGGCAGTGTTTGTGTCTCGGTTGTTTATCGGTCGGGGGGTCAATTGACCCAGTTTCGCGGCGGCCGTACTTTTTAATTTGTTCAAAATGTACATTTTGCACAAAAGCAGTTTTTAAATGCAGAACTTTTAAACTTTACTGAATGGAGCATATTTAGGGGAGATATTTAACAGCTATTTTTTTTTATATTTATGATGCATACATTACTGTGGTCTTAAAGTAGCTCCAGTGGTAAAGAAACAAAGAGTAAAAGGTTAGCATGGTATGAGGGGAGAATCACATGTGACAAGGAGAACTTTAGTTACGAGTGTGGAGGTACACCGTTAGAGGTAGACGTAGAAAGAGATATATTGCGAGGAAGGTGACATGATCAAGGGAGTGACGATTGAGTTGACGGAGAACATATTAACTTGGAAGACAAAAACTTAGTTTGCTGTCCCTAAGGGAGTTGGATATTTATAAAGTTACTTGTTATTATTTCAATGATATTTATAATTCAGATTATAAAATCCTCGCAAAATATAATCGCATTGAATTTTATTAATAGTTAATGTTATGAAATATTAGGAAGTGAATTTTGCACTAGTTGTCAACAATCGTTATCAGCCAGCGAGTGACAACGTGATTGCGGAGTGCTTGCTGCGTTCACTGGCAGATTACGTTGATAACTTGAGAAATAGTTTTAACCTCGACTATTGTTATCCTGCCAGTATACACTGCGAAACTGGCATTTATTTAAGACTCTCTCATTATTTCAAACTGGTTTTCTAAAGGTTCCGTTTTACTTACAAGTATTTCCAATTCGCTTTGTCCTCTAATTCTGGACTCGTCCTCAATCACACCGTACTCTTGCCCAAATAAACAATTAACAGGGCGTTGTCATCGGTCACGGTGTTACAACGCCCACGCACACAAACGCACGAACATGTTTTACTCGAGGGAAGGGGAAGGGAGGAGGTAAAAACCGTTACTTGTCGAAATTAACTGACTCAACGGATGACTCAATGCGTTTCTGCGAACGTTATTTACGAATTGAATTTCCGATTCAATACCATAAAATGCAATACGATGTACATAAATTATGAATAGAGGAAGCCTCATTTAGTGATATCTGTAACTAGTGACTACTCAAATATGAGGTCAATAACCTTTCGCTAAAAACAAACATCATTAAGGAGATCTGAGAAGTGTAATTGTTTATAAATAATACTTTCGGGAACTCCGAACAAACATACTCATTTCCCGTGTCATTTACCTGCATCTTCCGACCTTGCGGACCAAATAAACAAGACCATTTCATTGTGCAATCTAAATATCCTTATTTTATATAGCTATACTAATATTTGTGCAAAAAAATAAATGAATGAATAAAAGTGGTAATAAACCACGTTTAAGTCCAAGTTTCACTAGAGTTCTGCGTGTCTACATGAACCCTAAGGAGATCTGCAGGCGCGGGGTCTCGGGTCGTTTAAGTGCGTTACCGCGCCCGGTTATCTGCGCCTCAGCTGGTTATTGCACTCAATCGATCAAGTTTCATCGCACAACGCTAATCGACAGCTATAAAACGTATTCTACGCATTTTCTGAATGAATGAGTTAAACCCAAGAGTATTGTATAGGTTTTATTGTGTTTAAAGGTATGTTTTGAAAGCTAAAACTGCATGTTTGGTGAACACAATGCGTTAAAAATGTCGAGCATTTTCACTCAGTATCAAAGGTATTTGAAATACCTCATTTCCAATCAAACAAAACACTAACAAACAGACGACAGAACGTAAGCTTGCATTCTGTAATGAAAGTGGGACACAAGATGCGGTAGGGGGCGCCAGAGTAGGTCGACGCGGAATTAGGTCAATGGGAAAAAGTTTGGGAACTACGACCGGGTCAGCATTACTATTGTCACAAGAATACTTCCATACACTCACAATTACCGCGTATTTGTCTAATTTTTCATGTGTCATTAGGTAGTGTAGTTACAAGAAAACTTAACAACCATTTCGATCACCTAAGTAGTACAAAGGTTAACTATTTTAGAAGTGACATTTCCAACAAAGGGTTTTTGTTTATCAAAATCAGTCAACAGAGAAAATATTAACCAAAGAGCTATCCGATTCGCTCCAAAAACCACGCTTAAAACGCCGAAAGCGAGCGCATTTAATGGCCAAATAAAAAAACATACTGAGAATAAACAAAGAGATTTTTCTCCGCGTGATACAGTACATTCAGATCCGGTTACAAGCGCGTACCAATAAAAAACCCCGCAACTTTACACAATATAGCCGCGGCTGTGGAAAGGGAACCTGTCTGAAAAGATAACGGGTCCGGAGATGAGGGCTTGAAAGTTTTACTTGGAAAAGTGGTACGGAGAGTAAAACGGTATAATAAACATCAGGATGTTCAATAGAAAGACGTCTACAAGCCTGGTCGTACTCCTAAAACTGAAATGTTGGGCACACGCTGAATTCATTACCATAATCTGAACGATGGCAGAAGAAATCCAGTTGTCGATTTTAACATAAACTAAAACGTAGTAAAACTTGTTTTATAGCGTATTGACTTATTAACTCATCTAAGACACATTCAACTTGAATAATATTATTAACTAGTCGTGTGTAAGGAAGTTTGCGTGCAGTTAGAAAGTGAGCGAATGATCAATGCAAGCCATCGCCGGGTTTCCGTCGGGCACCAATTGTTTGTGCAACTCACACGCGACAGCACACAAAATGTTATGGTTTCCTAGTACAGGGATATACCATACTAACCTAAGGGGCTCCCTTAGTAATCAATAACTAAGTCGGTGCTATTTTATTGAATTTGGTATCTGTAAAGTAAATTCTTTTAAATGTTTTTTAAAGATTCTTCCAGACTATAAGATTCTCAATATCTCAATTTATTTTATATATACCAGGTTGTCATAAAGTCAATTGTAAAACTAAAATGTAACGACCTCGAACCCGCGCGGGGTGCTACGACCGCCCGCGCCCGCAGGTCGTTACACCCTCGCTGTAGCAGTGTGAACACGCACAAAACATGTATGTACTATCAGGATATGTAGCGGTGTTCCACCTCAAGAGAACACCTGAACACACCTACTCGATTTTTAGTTGTGCAACTAAACAGTTGAATTGGCTGCGAAACAATCGACAATCGCACAACAGTCTGTTGAGTGATTGTCGATTGTTGTCTATTTTTAGAGAAACTTTCTACACACGCGATAGAGGATATGACGGAAGATTGCATGTAACTAATATTGATTTTTAATGTCTTATTAACGTTAAAATATATCCAATCGAAAACATTTCTTATAGTTATTTGACTAAAGTCGCAAATTGCTTTACACAATACACAATGGCACACAACGATGACGTAATACATTCTCAATTACTGGCATAATTCAAGAAATGTATCAAGTCACAGGTGACAAGACAAAGGAATTCATTAAAAGGGCACTTGATATGTGCGTTTAATAGGGTTGTCACCTCTACGGGTATGATACGTCTATTGTCATTTACATCGGTCTTAGTCTGAGCTACGCCTTACCTTATTTAGGCTATAAGTCTAGTTACAGTATTTGTTGTAAAACAAGACAACAACTGAAAGTCGACAGCCCTGTTTATAAATAACTACTCCAACCTTTTAGGACAGTCACTTTCGAATTGTTTCAAGGTGAAAGCGTAAGAATATAAGGTAATTAGTTCATTTTGTTATAATTTCGTACTGAGGATAAACTAAATAATTTGTTTGTTATTCGTTTATTTCGTTTTCCTTTTTAAAGCCTGTTAACGTCAGATTTATCTGAACGATTCGTCTTTTCAGAAAAAACAACATGTGTACTGGCTTAATTGATAAATCTGTAGAAACAACGAACTAGTTAATCTTTTTTCTTTTTATAAATAAAGCGTTTGAAACTAAACAAAACTTCTCGGTTAGACTAACAGTGTATACTCTGTGCCAAGACAACTGACGTGAGAGGTTTTTACCAGACAAGTTGGCATCGAACATCGAACAATAAAAAACTATCGTGATCATTAGACAAAGTGTAAAGAGATTTGAACAGACGAAAGATCTAACGTTACACCACGGCGTAATTCATAAACAAACACGTCTTTACACGATTGGCAAGAATATACAATCATTGCCCTTGGGCTGACAACAGACCTTGCAATATAAGACATTAAAACAAAAAACTGCGCACGCGACAATTGTTTTGTCTCACGTATTGTTACTTAGGTGTTATTTTTTAACATGAAATAGAAAGAGACAGCAGATATCTAAAATCTAGCCAAA